TCTGTTGCGGAGGGCGCTACACAAAATAGTTTTGTGTGTGATAATGAAGAACTGAGTGTCAAATTTCAATGAACATAAAATCTAAATGTTAATCATCTTTGTTTGATCAAAATCGGTTCAAACACGGCTGAAATATCCATAAATATAACCATTTCTAATATTTGTGTACCACCACAAATATATTCGATAATTTAAACCAGCCGTTGAAAAAACGAAATAGCGCCTTATACGTTTTATTCCAGCCAATGCCGATGTTGGTTTTTTTGTTGGCTTTTTCGTGTTGGTTATAATACGCACAACCAGCCGACCCAAGTATTGTTAATATTAATTAATTAACAGTCACCATGTTTTTTTTTAACGTGGAGCTGAATTGGTATGATCGTATTGGCTAAATTTCACACATTTTGGGGTCTAAAATTACCTTCATAGCAACTTTAGGTGATAAAAGGGCACTAGAAATGGCATTAATAAGAATAAGAGCAATACACATGCACTTTGAAGGTACTCTCGGTCTGAAACAAGAACTCAACTATCCCTTTAACCACAGTTCTTGACTGAAATTTATCAATTGATTGTACATGCAACTTTTGCAGAGGTAAAACACAGTACGAGAATGAAAAGTTATCTTCGTTTTTATTTATTTGCCTCCATCCCGACTTACACCAGGGAGGTGAGACTATAAATGCCCTCTTCATTTTCTCCCCTCCCTGCTTACACATACAACACAGCCAGTGGCGTACGCAGGATTTTTTCAAGGGGGGGGGGGGAATGTTCTAAAATCGCGCCGAAAATTTCGCAACGACCCAGCCAACCGCTGAATAAGGGGGGGGGGGGGGGGGGGGGGGGAGTGGGGTGCCTCCTTCAGCTTTTTTTTTTTTTCAAATTGAGGGGGGGGGGTTAACCCCCAAACCCCCCGCTGCATAAGCGCCTGAACACAGCGACCCCACCCCTCACTACTGAAAAAATAAACATCTCATCTCGGTATCGTCGGCTTAGTCTGTACTAAAAATGAAAACAAACGAACCCTAAACCAAAATAACATTTCACATATAGAGGAGGACTTATAGACAGGATTAAAATCATGAGAATAGGTGGGCCTGAGTAAACAGTAGCCCATTTAATTGTGGACCCCATCAAAATTAATGGCCTTTATTAATCTAGGGTAATTATGTAATTTGTGTAAAGCGCATTGATATGTTTTAAGACAGGAATAATTGCGCTATAATTATTGTAAATGGTAAATATCATTATCATGAATGCCTTTATTAAAGCCACTTCTCTCGTTGTCTTGGATGTTTTTGTTAATGTTGTCATTTTTTTCTTGTTGATGTTCTTTTTTAAATTTCTTCTTCATATTCTTCTTCTGTTTATTCTTCTTGTTCTTTTCATTTTTCTTCTTCATCTTTATCTTCTTCATCTTCTTTACCTTCTTCGTCTCCTTCTTCGTCCTTCGTCTCCTTCATCTTCTAATACGATCGTAAAGTATTTCGATAAAATCAATTCAAGGACAGTAGTAACCCATCATTAGTACCTATCGCTTCAAAATTATGTGGTCGGTTCAGGGTTATAAATTTCAAAAGCTATAACACAATGCGATTGAAATTGCCTCAGTTTTTTAAAATAGTTTTTGCGATCTGTAATTATCTTCCCATCTCTCTTCAACCCATTGGTGTGATTGTATCAAGTTGTTTCTCCAATACAAACGCATGATCGGATCAAACTGAGATAATTGTTTACTTGGGTTTCACGTGTATTTCCGTGCTCGTGATCGGCATGACTCGTCATTACTATATCATACGGACATTTTTAATAACAATAACCATTTCGATGTCACGTGTTTAATAGTTTGCAGGTTCAGACCCTTGTCAGTCGTTGTGCGTTAGAGTGTCTGCAATATGAGACTGCAATAGGCAAAGTGGCGGATCCAGGGGGGGGGGGCACAGGGGGCACGTGCCCCCCCCCCCCCGCCCTGCCAAAACAATATGTTAAAATCAGCCCTAAATTCGCCCAAAATGTACTGAAAAACGGGCGTGCCCCCCCCCCGACCAATTTTTTTTTTTTTTTTTTTTTTATTAAAAAAAAAAAAAAAAAAAAATGCCTATGGCTGACCTAAAAAGGTGACCTTACCCCCCCCCCCCGCAACGGAGCAAAATGTCAAAATTAAAAATATCGTGACAAAAAAAAAAAAAAAAAAGTGTCCTCTTACCCCCCCCCCCCCTACTGCTACTACTACTACTACTACTACTTCTACTTCTACTTCTACAACTACTACTAATAATGATATAATAATAATAATAATAATAATAAAATATTAAAAATGATACTACAACTACTACTAATTTTTTTTTATAATGATGATAATAAATGATAATAATAATGGCTTTGTGTTTCTGTGCTCAGAGGGGGGGGGGGGGGGTAGGGGGCGCACAGTGCCCCCCCCCCAATTTTTTTTCAAGGATCCTAAAGGGGCCCTTTTTACATACAAAGTGCCCCTTTTACTATTACAAGTGCCCCCTATCAATTTGTAAAAGTGCCCCTTCCCCTTTCCACCTCTGATAAGTGCCCCTTTTATTTTAACACGTATACCCCTTTTCCTTCGACAAGATCCCATTTTTCTTTGCAGTAAGTATTTAATCTCAAGTAAGTGCCCCTTTTCAGGTACGAGAAGTGCCCCTTTTCAGTTTTGATAAGCGCCCCTTCACCTCTGATAATTGCCCTATTTGAATCTGGGAGGTGCCCCTTTTTTCTTTGACAAGTGCCCCTTCCCCCTTTTAAAAACTTCCCCTTTTAACTCGGTGGAGCGCACCTTATATTTTCACATGTGCCCCTTTCCTTTCTAATAAGTGCCCATTTTCCTTATGATAAGTGCCCCCATTAAAAAAGCCCCTTTCCCTTCTCACCTATCCTGATAGTCCCTTTTCATTCTCATAAGTGCCCTTTTTCTTCCCTGGTAAATGCCCCTATTAAAATCTGATCGGTACCCATTTTCTTTCAACAAATGCACATTTCCCTTTATTATAAGTGCCCCTTTTTAATTCTCATAAGTGTCTTTTTCATCCCTGGTGAGTGCCCCTTTTTAAGGTGTAAGAAGTACCCCATTTTCACCTCTGATAATTACCCGTTGTACTTTGACACGTGCACCATTTCTTTTCTAATAAGTGTCATCCCTTTCGATAAGTGTCCCCTTTTCCTTTCATCATTAAACGTGCCCCTAAATGCAAGCGACTATAAGCAATATTCCCCAAAGATCGCTCGCTACGCTCGCTCGCATTTATATATGTCATAGTTATGTTACTTATCAAAGGTCTTTTCAGTCTTCTGTTATGAGAATGTGCTTTTAACCCCTTCAGGATTAGGCTTTTCCTCTTTATGAGATGTAATTTTTGCTTTGCGACCTCACAAATCTTAATTTTGTCCTCGCGCTCGCAAATGAATTTTCAGACCATCACACCCAACTGCAAGGTATGGTGCTTAAGCAATGTCTTATACGATGTATACAGAGAAACAAATATTGAAACCATCCCTTTTCATGTAATCACAATTATAGGGGTATATACCAATGTCTAAAAATGGTATATTTTCGCTTTGAGATTTCCCTTTGAAGGTTCCCCCTTTTTCCAGAAAGTGCCCTTTTTTGTTGGTCCCCTCCCCCCCCCCCCCCCCCCCCCCACTTTGGAAGTCACTCCGTCGCCTCTGTCTGTGCTCGTGACCAGCATGGCTCGTGATGTTGTATATAATTACTACGGTCACGCAAGGCTGCGAATGAATTTCACTCTCACCTGTTTGGTCACATGCCTGACAGGAAGCTGTTAGTTGCATGGATATATGGCACTGTTTAGAGGAATATTGGATTGGGGTGGTGGTGATAGGAGCACAACGTGACCATTCCTCGCTTGGAACCTAATAAAGTAGCCTATGCCTTAATACGTATCCAAAAGAAGAACGTGCCCCCTTATCGTGTGATTGTTATTGTTATTGTAACACTTATTGCAAAGGAAAATGGGAACTTGTCGAAGCAAAGGGGGCACTTATCATAGGTTGAGAAGGGAAGGGCCTTTATACATTTTAATAGGGGCACTTGCAAAGTAAAAAGGACACTTTTCCTATGTAAGAAGGGGCACTTATTACAAAGTTAAAGGGGCACTGTGCCCCCCCCCCCTGGAGGGCCGCCTTTACATGAGCGTATCCTTACTGCCTTGTGCAAAACTAATGACGGATGAAGTCTCGGATTAATTTTTCAAGGATGATGTACACAGACATATCATTCTCTTGACTAATTCCCATTTCGTCGACCATCCATGAGGTCCAATAATAATTTATGATTAACACCCTTAACAAAAAAAATCGACAAATTTAGGTTCCCCCCTCCAACATACACACACGCACGCACGCACGCACACACACACACACACACACGCATACACACTCACGAAATGTCGACCAAAGATGAAAATATTAATCCCAACTAGAACAAATGAGAAGGGAGGAAAAAAGTAGAGACTCGTTAGATCATTACATTTGCCGACAAATTCGCCGGTTTTGAAGCAGGTCTATTCTAAAAGAAAAAAATAATCTCATTAACTTTCTTACAGTAATTACCGAAAATTGTCAGTGCGTGCATGGAAAGGGGGGGGGGGGTACACACGTCCTACACTCCCTAAGTGGCCTTTATATTGAGCCACCATATTTCGCTCAGTGGGGGGGGGGGGGGTAGTGAGCACTAATTTTTTGTTGGCCCTCGAAAATTTGACAAATAGCGCGAGGGGGGGGGGCATCTCCAAAAAAAGGTAAAATTAACGTGTTTTCACACGTTTTTTCCAAGGGGGCGGGCCCCCTGCCCCCCTCCCCCTCCCCCGGCTTTCCTCAGTTAATCATGTACATCTAGTTGTGCACGGTTGTGTCAAGTCATCGAACATTGTTACGTTCTGAACTTCGCTTCCGATTTCTCATCAAAAACATCACGACTGTCTGGCAGAGGTTATATCTACGTCTGAATTCAGACTATTGCGGAAATAGAGTGGCACTCCTAGATATCCCACAATTCCTTTTATGAATACGGAAGTTTGTGGAAATTTGGACAAAATCTGACAAAATGTCGACGTTAGAACTTCTTTTCGAAAATGAAATTCCTGCTGGAAGACAGGCTTTGCAGGACAGTCATCACAACTTGCAAGATGTAGCTAATTATTGCGAAGATAATTATCTAAAGGTAAACTATTTGTAATTATAGAGTTATTCATTCGATCATCTGATCATTTCGGTCCCACCTACCAATTTTTAAGTTGTGAAAAGATCAAATTAATTGTCCGACATGTCAGAATCTCAGATATTCACCAAATTGCTAACGATAATGTAATTTCTATATTGTAGTAATAAGTACCTTGTAAATGACCTGCAATTCAGCTTCGGCTGCCATAACGTCATGTAAATAAAAACCCTTATGTTATTGAATAAGTTTAAGTTATCAGTAGATCTTATACTACTATTAGTCTAGTTATTACTAGAGTAAAGGAGGGGGTAATCGACCAGCTCCAGTTTTCGGCCGATCCGTTGGATGCATGATAAAATCCCTTTAAAATACATCGCATAATAGCATAACACATATCTCACACATACTATACCATGCCAGAGTCACTGATGAACCACATTTACAATGGAAAATATATCCTAAAATATCACATTTTAGCGATGTAATCGGCGGTCCCGCTACCCAAATCTGAAAATTGAGTATCTTAGACTTACGCGTGTCTGTAAGAAATATGGGTACCATAAAATGAGCTTTATTTCAAGTATTTTTACAGATTTAGAGCCCGATTTTGTGTTAGTCGCAAGCTCAAAAGTATCTCATCGCATGTATTAAATCAATGCAGCCGAACACCGCGACGCACACACGATATGTCTGTCTAATTCAGATTCCAATTTCCGATCACTGCAGTGCTAGTTTTCGACCAAGCGAGCACCGGGGAGCTCCAGCGTGGGATACCTGCTCCGCCCGCTTGTGCTATAGATCAGCGCGGAAACGCATGGCGCGCGCGCGCTTCCTATTGACTTTGTACATGCGGTCGTAAACTGACTCGCTAGGTCGATAATCGGCTCCAAAACAGTGAAAATTGAAATGAATATTGTCATGGCAATTCGTGATTTTTTTCTGGGATTCTTTTTTTGTTTAAATAATGATAATATTTGCTTCATGATTTGAACAAGAAATGATAATAAATAGGCAGTAAAGGGTCCAAAAAATAGGATTTTGTCTTAAGTGGCCGAAAACCGGCTCCTTGACTCTAGGGGCGCTGGTCCTACAGTAGAATGAGGATCGTTCTCATAAACAAGGATATCCTCATAAATGCAGACAAAATGTGTCCTGAAAAATAAGGGTTATCTGCATTTTTGAGGACGTTTTTTTTCATCGGCGCTCTGGGGGTTTCATGTTACATAACGGCCTGCTGGCGATGCCAAAAATGAATTCCCAGGGGGAAAATAACCCTAGACTAGTTCACCGTCTACTTTTATGGGTTGTCTGTCTTCCCAAGGATTTATTGCTCATAATGTGAAGGTCTCTGTACAAAGTCAACGTAAAATGCATGAAGAAAATCATTGCAGAATCCGTTTTTTGCATCGCCAATGCACCAATCAAAAATATGAAACGTCTGCGAAAATGCAGACGGTCCTTATTTTTGAGGACGCATCGGTCCGTGTTTATGAAGACGATCCTCGTTTATGAAGACGATCCTTATTCTCGGACCAGCGCCCCTGCTGGTTATAGAAGTTCTAGAGTAAACCACTCCAGCAAAGCATAGAGAGTCAATGCTAATGTGTATTGATCTCTAGCACTGTATGCTTCCTGTGAGGCAGGTATTATTAGACCTATACACAAATATACACACCACACAATATCGCATAGACTCTACACAATCAAGTTGATGCAGCTGTAAGCAAAGTTTGACAGTAGACTTACAATTTGAATTCTAAAATTATTCTTTTTAACATCAGTAAGTTAAAAAAAATGTATTTTACTGCTATTTAGGTGTCATCAATTGTCACTAAAGTACCGATTTTGAGTGAAATCAGTTGAGTTTTGTACAGTGGTGTTTGAAATGTTGAGAATCAAAAGCACAGCTTTTACTACACAGCCAGGATAGTGATGCTCCTATGTGTGTAATCCACCATCACCAGTTTTCGGCCGGTCCGTTGGATACATGGTAAAATCCCTTTAAAATACATTGCATAATAGCATATCACATATCCCACACATACTATAACATGCCAGAGTCACTGAAGAACCACATTTGCAATGGAAAATATATCCTTAAATATCACATTTTAGTGATGTAATCCGCTACCCGAATCTGAAAAATTGAGTATCTTACGCATATCTGTAAGAAATATGGGTACCATAAAATGAGCTGTACTTCAAGTATTTTTCAGATTTAGAGCCCGATTTGTGTGAGTCTCAAGCTCAAAAGTATCTCATCGCATGTATTAAATCAATGCAGCCGGACACCACAACGCACACACGGTATCTCTGTTTAATTCAGATTCCAATTTCCGAAACGGTGAACATGAAAATGAATATTGCTATGGCAATTAACGATTTTTTTTTTTCTTTTTTGGTTTAAATAATAATAGTATGGGCTTCATGATTTGAACAAGAAATGATAATAAATAGGAAGTAAAGAGTCCAAAAATAGGATTTCAAATTTCGAATATCTTTTTCTGTCTCTTTTGATGAAGGCTACTGATAAGAGGAGAGCACTGGAGGAAACCAAGAACTTCACCACTCAATCCCTTGCCAGCGTAGCATATCAGATCAACACACTCGCCACCAGCATGCTACAGATGCTAGATCTTCAAGCCACTCAGCTGGCCACCATGGAGTCCAGTATCAATCACATAGCACAGGTACATGTAGGCTCTGCCTTTTCTCCTGGGTAATAAGATACCATAGACAATACTTGGTAATAATTGGCAGCAATTGAATTCCTTCCAATTTATCGGTATAGGAATACAAACAATTAAGGATGATCAAAGAATAGGGCACAGATGAAATCATTTTGCTGAGGTATTCCTGTGTTTACTCCGATTTGTCAATAGGGTCAATGATTCAATGGTTGTTAAAGAAGGCAGTATTTAATAATCATATGTCTATAACACACTGATTTTGATTTTCATAAATTTGTGTGGTTAACATTGCGCAAGCTGGGCTTCCAGACGAATAACTCCCCCACGAAAATAGGTTCAGATAAGAGTCTGAATGGAGACTATTCCCTACCACCCATCTGAGTAGAGAAGGCTCACTGGGGCTCTTTTTTTTTTTTTAAGAGTCCCCATGGACAAAAGATTAATTTGAGCCCTGATTGAGATCAATTGGAGAGTTCCAGTTAGGATTGCCTGAAAGGTAGCATAGAGTATCAAATTAGCATCAAAATAGGTAAGAAGTATGTGCAGATCAGTTCCTTCTCAAAGGACCTATATCTATGATTATTGAATATTTATGATTGTGTTTTGATTTTCTTTTGGTTTTTTCATTCTGTTTAATGATTAATATAGATATTTCTAATATACAAAAATATTTTTCTTTCTTTCAGAATGTTGCCATTCACAAGGAGAAAGTAGCTCGTCGAGAGATTGGTGTATTAACCACCAACAAGAATTGCCCCCGCACTCATAAGGTCATCACACCACCCAATCCTGAGAAGCAGCTTAAGTATAAATCCGCTCCCATTGACTTTCAAGCCCTGGATGATGTAGGTCATGGTCTCAAACTTAGTTCTCCCTCAACAGTGTCAGGTAGAGCTACTCGTGAGCGAGCAGACTCACAAGCGAGCACTTCTACATCTAACAGTGGTGGTGGTGGGTACGAAGCATTGCCAGTCTATCAGCCGCGACTGGATGACCCGTATAACTCCATGCGTAGGCGAATGCCCAACCACCCACCGGTTGCACCGACTGTACCATCCCAGTATATGTCTATCGGTAGAGTGGGCATGCGGGATTCTCAGCACGGGGCACCGCCAAAGGAAAGGCCTTCGATTCAAGGATACATGCAGGGACAGCCTGAACCAAATGTACCTCCAGCCCCTCCCCCACCTCCAAGCATGCCAGGTACTCTCCCTGGTATGGGGCATGCCGGTCAAGCACCACCTCCACCTCCTCCTGGCATGGGTGGTCCATCACACACTCACATGGGCCAACCACCACCACCAAATATGGGTCCTCCTGCCCCTCCGGCACCTCCCATAGGAGGTATGATGCCCCCCGCACCTTCACCTGCACCAGCGGCACACCAACCACCCCAAGCAGCCCATCAACCACCCCCACAGCAACAGCCAAATTTTGCGGCACAGCTGAACCAGGCTATTGGTATGAGGCCGGGTGCAGGAGAGGCAAAGCGTAGCTCAATAAACCCATATGGAGATATTGGTATGCCTCCACCACCTGATATGGGAGGTAGGTTCAGGATATATATCAAGCTGTTTGGAGAAAAAAAGGCCAAAGATTCATGTCACTGGTCCAATGATTTTATGATTCTTAATTTTTGCATGACTTATTTAATGCACATGTCAAATCATATATAATCTAACATTCTGTGTTGTAATATTATGACAGGATTGGGCTGCATGAAAATCACATTTAATAAGGGACTAACATTCGTAGTATGATGAAATCTTACTATTTTATTTTATATATAACTTATAAACTGCGCATTTTTCAATTGCAACATTCAATCTCACCTACCTTTTGTCAAATAAATAATTGATAAAAAAATGAAAAACACTATGTGATAATCACCAGTGTTTTCATAAATGCTAGTTTGATTTTGTCGACTTGCTTTCTGGTTATGATTGATTGTGTTTTCCTGTGACAAAGACTATTTGATTTATCAGCTCATTCATTCATTCATTCATTTTTATTTGTTCATTTCCAACAAAATACAGTACATAATAACGAATACAATGTAAAATGTATACAAAACATAGTTACATTTGTAATAAACAAATCTTAATAATAATTTATACATTTTAGGAAGACAAAAAATGAATTTTAAAATTTAACTGCATTTATATTTTGAGGAAATGGAGAGGTCCACTGAAAAGCAGAGCTTGTAAATTGTGGACCCCTCAGATAATAATGAGTGTGAAAAAAATATGGAATACATAATCAATGAAAGAAGAATAGTGGCCAACAGAGATCATTTATTAAAACACGTAATGACTGTAAACAAGAAGACGTAACAAATTACATGAATGGGTAGCAAAAATTGAGTAGCTCTAACAAATTTTGACCATTGCACCCGCCCGCCCTGATTTCTTCCTTGACAGGCTCTGATTTACCACCTCCCCCTATGGATGCCATTGTTTATAGCCGTGAGAGTATCGTGATGCCTCCCCCTCCAGAGTTTGAACAGGCTGAAGATGACCAGATTGTCCCAGCGCAGTACATCGAGAAAGGTGGGTGTAGTCACATAGTCATTTTTCTGCTCGCTATAGCTACCGATTTTTTTATAGCAACACTTTACAACCATTCTTGTATGAAGTCTAAGTATACTACACAAGAGGCTTAGAACTACTGTACGTGTAGGCCTCGAACAGGCCAAAGTTTAATATTCTATTTGTGTATGCATACATGTAAACAAATCATTGGATGAAATGGGCATTGGGGCATATTATAGCATGTATGCACATTTACAGGTATTTTAGAAACGCTAGAATCAGGAATGTAAAGATTGCCTTATTTTTTAGGATCCACATGCAAAGCAATGTATAGTTCTATGGCTGACTGCATGTTTTGGTGTCATTCCATGGTTTCTGTAAAGACCATCAGTGAGCTTGAGAAACCTTACTTATCATCCACCCTGGCTTAGTAAAAGGACTTGATTCTTATGTTGATATATATATTTTAAAAAATGAAAGTAATAGTAAGGATTATAAGACCAAATCTTTGGTATTAATATGGATTATATCCCACATACTAAGAATCTTGCAATCTGATTGGTCTAAACGTAGTCACATGACAAATGATAGATAAGTACTATCTCCCTGCGATAGGACTTTTGTACCGTAATTTTTTGCTGCTGCCCCACTTGCCCATTGAATAAGCATAGCAAAGTAGGTTACGCGAAATGTCAATGACAATGTCAATGTCAATGTCAAATGAGTACGCATCGACTGTATTACATGTATGCGTGTTGTGCTTTGTAAAATCTAGCTGAAGCTAAACTGACTGCAGAATCGGTTCTTTTAATTATGTAAAATTCACTTTAAATAGACCTTATTGCCGATGTGAGATATAAAACAAATATTAACCTCCTTTACTCGGGCAATGGATACCAAATATCATCGCCTCGGTGATCACCTTGGCGATGATAGTTTGTAACATTACCCTCATAGTCGATTAATATTTGCTTAATAACGTCCAATTTGAAACACATGGTGTATTTGTTTGACCTTCAGACTGGATTATGTAAAACTACTGGTAAATTAAATGTGTGAATTCAGAAATTCGGTCCAATCTTTCACTCACATCCATTCAAATTCACATGGCTTGATTGTAGGTCTTTCTAAATTGAATTGAGACATTACAGAGACACATCAGTGATTTAAATATGGGGCTAGGCCATCAGAGATTCCACTGTGAGGCGAAATGTATTGAGAACTTACTGATTTCAAGATTCCAAAGAAATTTACTAATAATTTATGATTTCAAGTGAGATGTTCAATTTATTGTGGATTCTTGAAATGTTTAGATGAACAAGAAGATCCGCCTTCATACATTGAGAAAGGTAAAAGAAAAAGCTCTCCTAACTCTCCCAAACATCCTCATTTCATGTCAACTCTTGCCTCCATAAAGCATTATCACAATGCCAGTCCATATTCATTATATAAATGAAATTGATGATGTACATGTAAGTCCGTCTGTATGGACTTGTAGTTAAGTTTGTCCATCTACGGTATTGAAAAGTATTTTGCTATCTCTCTCTCTCTCTCTCTCTCTCTCTCTCTTTCTCTCTCTCTCTTTCTCTTGCCTTTCAATTTGTGTGTGTAACTGAAATATTTCACAATGTCAATCAGGCATGATATAATTCTGTGTCAATGATGTAGATTTGTTCCCCATCTCTTATATTCATCTATAAACCCTTCTAATATACAAATATTGAAATCGAAATGTGCCCTGAGACAAAGTCAACATGCATAGTACAGTCTCGTGATCACAGAGAAGCTATACTTTTATCCGTGACCCAAACAATAAGCAGTTAATATTTGTTTTATCAAGTGCATCTCAAGTGTTAATTCTTAAAAAGAGATATTCGTAAAAAAAAGTATGTCTTTTGAAGCGTATTTGTAGAGTCAAAGGAAATTTACCCATCAAAGAGCATTGCGCGTGTATCACCATGCATATCCGTTGTTAATTTCACGTGCAAACATTGCGTCCTTGCATTGTATGGGCAAGTAGAACTATGCCCGGTCAATATATTTCGCTATACTGCCCAGCAGTCAGTAACGAATTTCATGCCTGCAGTTTTTACCAATCAGAAACCTAGAATCTTCATATCCAATATATAAAATATCATGTTACCATGTAAAGGTGCTATCCTTCTGATTTATATTCCTTCATTTCATGCACATATTTTCAATAATTGTTGTACATCAAATATTCTATATAAACTTGCATAAGTTCCCTGTGGGCTCAAATCCACCATGAAGAAACCTGCATTCAATATTTATTTGTTTGCATGACATGCTCGTGCGGAACCAGATTTAAGAAGAGAAACAAGGCAGTCAAAATTTCAGAAAATCTTGACAATGAATAAGAAACTTTTAACAATTTGAAAGTTGAGATCATATATGGACTCTTATATTGACAATGCAGTCATGTTACTTGATGCATGGAGAACTTGTCCATTTCTATACAGACCTTTTGTAAAAGGACATGTAATATGCTACCCACAATGTTTGTTTCCAATCCAACAGAGTCTTGACAACCGGTAGTCTTAAAGTACAATTTGGAAATTTGGTGAAATTAAAGAGGATCCAAGTTTTTTTTATATAAATTGGTGTTTAAATGCAATAAAAGCAACACAGTTTACATTATATACAGGTCTTCTGTTCAAAATTACTTTTTAAAGTAGTTTATTGTTACATTACAGCTATTGAAGCCAGCATGCACATGCAGCACTCGCTCATGCACGTGCGCATGATTAAATACTGTGAGAAAATCACGCTCAGCATTGCTGATGTGTTAAATATACAGAGGAAGAGCATTATGCTTGCAATATTGAACTCTATAAAAATAAAAAAACAGGAATCTAATACATGATTTTGTCCTCTGGGAAATGAGGCCTGTATGCAAGCTTGTATGTATAATAATTTGTATTATTTCCTGTACTCGTCTAATTTGAGAATTCTCCATGCATGTGTATTGTGTATGACATAACACATAATGACCATTATTATTCTCTGTCCAGTCTAATATTCTCAAACTTTCAACATTATGTTTCTCTAATTTTCTACTTCTTTTCAAACAAATGATGGGTTAATTTTTTTTTCTTCATGTAACCCCCTTAAACGTACTTATATGTCCCATTTGCAGCCAACATCAAATTCTGTAACTCCAGGGTGGAGTTAAAAATTCTGTAGAACTTTGCAGAAATTATGAATATATATGTCACATATGTCCTTTCTGTGAAATTTAAACGTTAGCAGTGTCCTTATATTCAATTTATGCAAGGAAACTTGTTTACTTTCTAGACTTCATTGTCAGGCACTATTGAGTGACTGACTGACTTTTTTTTTCTTTGATAATAACATACATGTACATAAAATGAGCTGTAAAGGGTACATGAGCATTTGTCAACAGTTCTTGTAATGGCCAAAATTAAACTGATTGAATACTTGCACAGCACAAAATGTACAACCATTTGGTACAAAGTTCTGAAAATCAGACTATTACTAAATGGATTGCAATCACTAAAGTTGAATCGACAACTTATGGTCATTATTTTACCACTTAAAGATATTTTCAAGCCCTTTTGTTATAAGGGAATTTCTGAATTAGTATTTATCTTTCAAATTCAGTTGGAATTTAACCTTTTCATTTTTTTTTTTGCCTGCAAACGAGACATACCGGTAGTCTTTAAGTCATAGCTAATAAATCATCTATTCAGACAATAGGAGCTTTAATTTTTGTTTGAGACCACACCTTGCAAATCTCTCCTGCATGCATAACAGAAGAGAGAAAGAAAGAGAGAGAGAGAGAGAGAGAGAGAGAGAGAGAGAGAGAGCAGTGGCGGATCCAGGGGGGGGGGCCCGGGCCCCCGCCCCCCCCCCCCTTGAGAAAAAAATCATGTAAAATCACGTGATTTTTACCTTTTTTGGGGGGTTGGGCCCCCCCCCCCCCTGGCGCTCAAGGGGGGGGGGGGGGTGCAAATTGAAATTTTTTTGAGGATCCAAAAAAAAAAATGTGCTCACTACCCCCCCCCCCCCCCCCCCCCCCGGCGCGATTTTCAAATTTTCGGGAGCAAAAACAAAAAGTTGGGCCCCCTCCCCTAAGAAATCCTGGATCCGCGCCTGAGAGAGAGAGAGAGACATGTAGAGAGGGAGAGAGAAGAGAGAAAGAAATGAGCTGTATGTTGTACATGTCATTATCTGGCAAAGAGTTGAACATGGAACTTTGGACTATTATGATTGTCAATCCTCCCCTTTATAAAAGAAGTAGAAAACACAGAATTTCATACTTCTACTTTTACTGACGTGTGTTCCAATCTTTGGAAAAGAAACTGTAAATGAAAGTACTGTAGTTGCCCGGAGTATTTCAGGGTCTTTCCCATTAAAGCCTATCTGTACTACTAGTTTACAGGAGGGATTAGACCACCCTGCAAGGTCACCGATAGTTTGTTATCTCATCAAATCAGCTCTCACTGAACATAAGAAAAAGAGGATCATGGGGGACCAATGGTCAGCGATTGATTAGGCATTGTTTGCTATAAAGAGGGTGCAAGTAGCTATAATTAGTGCAGTGGGGCTTTAATTAATGTGTTCTTTTGACTGATATTGACTGCTTCCCTCTGTGTCAGATCAGCGCCCATCAAAGAGCCGTTTCATCCATTCACTCTATACTATTTTCATAGTCTCCATATGATATCTGTCTCTGTCATTACCATCTTGCCATTTTTATTGTGAATTTGAATGAATCGTTATGCTTGTGTCAGTTTGTTGTTGTCTGACATGGCCTATCATTCTTAAATATCTGTTTGTCAGTCTCATGCTCTCTTTCTCTCTCTCTCTCTCTCTATCTCTATCTCTCTTTCTCGTTTTTTTTCTCTCTCTCTCTCTCTCTCTCTCTCTCTTTCTATTTCTCTTTATCTCTACCAGAAATATACATATACCCTGAATTATATTGAATGAGTACACAATCTGATATGTAAATGCTCTATGCACTGTATTTCCTAGCTGGTTACATGCAGAAATTAGAAGAAAAAAAATATTCATTATGACTCCGGTAGTCCGATGACGTACATGTACTCCACTCAGCTCTCACAGTATGTAATCAGACTATCGTGAGAAAAGATTTGTGAGTGCCATGAACCACGAGAGGATGCAAATTATGCAATATTTTTCAAGTCATCTTCACTCTTTTATTACCATTCCTGAGTGTTTCTTTGTCTTCAAGTTCTTTGTCTTCAAGAATTAAATAAATTGGTAAATTCAGCTCAATTGAGGAAATCACAAGGAAGCACTTAATAGATAATGTGTATTCTTCTTGATTAATCTGTAATTACTCTTCAAAGGAATTGCATCATGATTTTCAAAAAAAGTCAATCAAAGATCTGCTTGTAAGTGAGATAAATTCATTTTATGTTAACCTAGCTTTGAAATGTTGACTTTTACTTCCACAGATTCTGTTTTGTTTTTTCTCCAAATACAGTACTATTCCTCAATCACATTGCCAAATCGACTCTTACGATGGCATAACACTGACCGACTATTTTCAGTCGGGGCAATGTACATGTAATTTTTTTGTCAGTGTAGGACTCCTTGTTATGACTGAGGCCATTTTTGTAATAATAGATCAGTGACTATTCTGAAGATATACACATTTGCATTAACTTTCCTTTCTCATACAATACTGTATCATGTAACATTAGTGTCAAGCATCAAAACATAGAGTGAAATTCTGTCTTGACAGCATATATCTCCTCTATCTTCCGTCCATGTACCGGTACTCACCTTTAGTGACAGGGAAAAAATACATGGGGGCTCGGGGCGAATTAGCCCCCGAAATGCCAAAAAGAGCCCCCAAAAATCATAAAAGAGCCCCCCAAAATTGCATAGAGTTCAATTCAAAACAAAATAAAGAGTGTTATTTTCATACAAGCAAGCTTGAAAAGTAGCCCCCCCCCCCCCCCCAATTTTTTCTTCTTTTTTTCCCTGTCTAGTGATTACACTTTTCAAGGGTTGATGAGTGCATCATTATATTCTGAATCCACTAACAATTATAACACCTTTTTTGTTTTGTTTTGTTTTGTTCAATTTCAATTTCAATTTATTTGCTCATAAAAATCCAGAAAACACATGCAAACATTCATAAATCAACATGATACAAAGGATAAAATTCACAAGAAAAATTAATAACAAAGTATACATTTGGATTGAGTATGAGAGGGACAGCAAGAAAGGAACAAGCCTTGTGATTAGCTGACCCTGTAACATAATACATTAAGGACGCTACAAAAATTAACAAATCACTTACAACAACATAAAGGGGGGGAGTGTACCTATACATTTAAACAAGCAAACTTGGTGAATACCTGTCTAAAATAAAGTGCCTAGATTTTGACTTAAAAACATTTAACGAAACTGCTTGTTTAATATCTGAAGAAAGAGAGTTCCAGATTTGGGGTCCTTGAAATAATATTGAGTTTTTAAAAGATGAGAGCCTCGGTTTGGGTAAATGAAAATCATTAGCATTTCTTGTATTGTAACCATGATATTCATTATTGAACTGAAAGAATGTTTTAATATAGTCTGGCAAGAGGTGATTGTTACATAAGTACATAAATATAAGTACCTGAAATACATATATATCATGAAATTTCAAAACACCTGATTCAATAAATAAAGGGTTGGTATGGGCAAGGTAAGGTGCATGAGACATATTTCGTATTGCACGTTTTTGTAAAATAAACAATCTATCAATGTGATTATTACTTGCATTACCCCAGACAAGAATACCATAATTAAGGTACGGATATACAATTGCATAATAAATCATTTTTAAAATCTCCTTTGGAAATGATCTTAAACAATACATTATTCCTATATTTTTTGCCAGCTTATTGCACAGACTATCAATGTGATTTTTCCGTGTAAGTTTATGATCTATTGTAATGCCTAAAAATTTTACTGATGTTACACACTTAATATCTGTTTTGCAGTTGTTGCAGTGTTTGACTATGGTGCCGACAGAGAAGATGAGCTTTCATTTGAAGAAGGGTCAATCATCTATGTACTGAAGAAGAACGAGGATGGCTGGTATGAAGGAGTCAGCCATGGCATGACTGGACTCTTCCCTGGTAACTATGTGGAACTTTGTCCATAGACAGACAGACACTGCCCTAGAGACAGAGAGAGAGAGAGAGACTCTTTGAGCTCTGAAAGACAAGAGTGTCACGTAGAAGGATGGGTGTTGGGCAGGGGAGGGGTGGGGGGGGGGGGGGGTGGAGGCAGCGACGTCTTCCCACTCAACAGTTTTTGCCAGGAACTTTAATCTGCTCTCTATAGTTGGTTAATGTAACTTAGATAATTAATGGTGTTTTGATTAATGTGCTCTTTTATTTTTTTTTTTTTGGGGGGTGGTTAAATATTCAAATACTTCATGTGTTGTTGGATGTATATTATGTGTATATATTGTATATATTATTATACAACTCACTCCTAGATCCTAATCAAATGATTGGTCAAACGTGATCACGTGCGATTCATTTACTCAGACTATCCCACGTTTTTTTTAATTAAAAAACAATTTCAAATACTATTCAAAGATTTTTAAGTATGTGATGTTCAGCAGTGCGCGTATAGAGCTAAGTGCACTTAATTTTGTGTACAAGCTAAAGTAAGCATATTGAACTAGGCATATATTTGTCAGTGATATTGACACAAAATAATCTTTTTTTAACACTTTTTACATCAAATAACAAGGACCTGGGAGTTATGTTATATAAGGCAAATGATGCATGTTTTCATTCATTCATTATATGATCTACGGCTCTTGTTTAGTCTGTTTTTGCACCTATTGTACGACGGTTTCATATGATAGATGCATACAGCCTCAACTTGATTGCAGATAGATCATACAATGAACTCATTCACATGCATTATTTGTGTACTATATGTATCATCGGTTTAGTCTTTTCAACATGGATTTGAAGTAGGTGTCATGTATATTCATAGCTGTGTGTGTATCAAATGTGTCGAGATTAAAACAATTTCCATGCTTCTATTTAATTTGTTATTTTGTTTTATAAACTCTTAACCTGAGGGAGTCATATCTACATACAGAAATGTGTAGTTTGGGATAACATACATGTATATGATTCATACTTTAAGTGTTTATATATAAATAGATATACATTTTATACATTCTTTATGTGTTTCTATACTGGTACATGTGTACAAATGTCCAAACAGGAATGATAGAAATAGAATCACTGAATACCGCCATCAACGCAGTTTGGATTTATGAATATGGTATATTTTTTAACAAATTGTGATGCAAACCAGATTTATAGTATTATTTGTATCTTGAACTGTGATACCGATTCAAGTACAGTAAAACCTGTCTTAGTGGCCACCTCTCTATAAAAGCCACCTGTCTAAAGTGGCCATGCATTTTGTCCCCCTTGAGAGAGAAATGTGTTGTAGAACCTGTCTAGAAAGGCCACCTGTCCACAGTGGCTGCTTTTGCTGTTTTCTGTCGGTCGCAAAGGGCGATACAACAACTTTCTTTTAAAGCCTTATATATCCTGAAGAAATATTGCTGATGTTAACATTTGGTAAGAATAGCCTGGGTTAGTTACTGTCATTATTAACTGTACCTGTCGTCGTTTGTTTCGCATAGGATGGAATTAGACATTTTCACACGCAAAGACATTGAAAAATTAAAACACAAGAAGTTTTGACTCCTGTGCGGGGAAGACATAAGGGTGTCACACTTTTTATAATCATTCAAATAATCTGAGAATTGAAGAAGGATGTGACTGATTAGAATCAGGATTCTTGAAAGGAAGAAAGATGAACAGTTCAACTGTCCACAGGTTCAGGGATATCATGTATTTAACCTGGATTAATCTACACCGATTACTTTATACTTCAAGTGGAATTGTTTCAAATTCTTGTGCCTACAAATTTTTAACGACTTTGAATTGAATTTGAGAAACTCTTTGCACAGATTTTCTTGCATGAATAGGAACTGAATAGCATTTAATAGTTCACTCCACTTTTGGAATGAGAGGGGTGGGGGCTGTAAAATTCAAATTCAGTACAAACGCTTAGTATTCATAGTAATCGTAATCAGATTTGTCATGATTGTACCAGTAATTGGTGAACTTTTCTTTATATTGCTATTGCTATTCTTTACATTTATTTCTGATGTTTCTCAAAAGCACATTCCATGATTACCGTTGAATAATGATGCTTATGACTATGAAGCAATTTCTATATGAATGATTTATTCCTACAAAGGTTACGTCGAGTACTGGTTTTGTAATTTTACAATAAAACAAAAATGTCCTGTAGAATTTGTTCGGAATAAATGATTTGGTTACAACGTTTTGTAATCCTCAAATATATATCAAAATTACTACATCATTCTAAAAATCAAAAAGAAAAGCTAATACTGCATACACATTGGATACACATCATGGTATCAAAAAATATTTCATACCTGAAAAATGGCTGGACATATTTCAAACTTTAAAGAACTTCAAAAGCAATTCTATTCATGTGGTTAGTGTTCTTACCCATTTGATGAAGCGATGACATTACAAAATTACTTTTTACCATACCAGTACTCAATGCTCTAGTTAATTGGGATTCATGAGGAATTTTCAAGATATGTTATTCAATCATGTATCATAGATGTTATAATTGTTTAGATATGTGGGGAATATTTGTGGTTTGTTTATCATTCATTTGTATTAGATAGCAAAATATTGTACATTTTTATCTTCAAATATTATTGTACTTATTTGAGGCTGTGCCGTGTATCCTTTGCTTTCTAAAACATTACAAATCGTAACCTATAGACTGTAAGACAATATATAACAAATTGGTCATGAGGCTGTAATTGTACATGATGTAGTTAGGTAAAACACATGGAAAAAGATAATGTAAAGAATTTTACTTAATTATATCAACAAATAAAACAGACAAAAATAAGGAGAGAAAGTATCGAAGCTGTTTCCATATGCACAGAGCCTCTTAGCCATATATTGTTGAATTGAGTTGCATTATTTTGATCATAGTCAACGATTTGATGAATATTTAGTATTTACTTGAAACACTACACCAAGTTGGCTGTACTGTATTTGCATGCTCAGTGTAACGTATCAGTGTTTGGGGAGCAAGGTCCATTTTTTTCGAATAAACAATGAGCATTTCATAAACAGGAGTACATGTATGCATTGTGTTAAATTATTTCCGTGGCTTCAAACTTCAATCACTTTTTGTGATGATGTGCAGCTCTTAGTTTGATTTTATGTTTCTTTTTCAACCTCTCCCCCCACCCCCTCTCTCTCTCTCTCGCTCTCTCCCCCCCCCCCCCAGACGCCCTCTCCCCTCTCACTCTATTTTCCCCTATCTAGCTCCCCCTCTCTCTTTTTCTCTTTCCTCCCCTCTTTCTATTTCTCTCTCGTTCTTTCAATCTCTTTTTTCCTCTCTCTACCTTCCTTCTCCCTATTCCCTCTACTGCTTACATCTCGATATGTTGATGTACTTTAGTTGCACCGCTTTCCATGGTGACCCTTCAAGAAGACAGTGATGAAATGAAAAGTTATGCTTACAGTCCAGCAGCTAGAAAATATTGCTCTGAATAGTTGATTCCGAAGAGTTTTTGTCTATTACCAGTGGCGGATCCAGGCCGGGTGGGCTGAAACGGCCGCTCCCCCCCCCCCCCCCCCCCCCCCATTGGCGAAGAAAAAAAATTGAGAAGGAAAAAAGAGGAAGAAAAAAAAGAACGAAAAAAAAGGGGGGGAAAGGAGAAGATAAAAGAAAAGAGAACAAAAAAGTAAAGAAAAGAGAGAGAGTTCAAAAAAGAGGAAAGAAAAAGAAGAGAGGAGCCGGGGAGAAAGAAAGACAACGAAATGGCACTAAAAATTAGTGACAGTAACGACGAATAAGGGAAAGACAAGGGGAAAGGGGGGTGCGTGAAGGCGGATGCATTGAGGGGAGGGGTGGGGGAGGATTGACTGGCCGTATTCTTATTTTTAGGTTATGCGAAACTGAGTCGAAATTATGCTTCTTTTCAAAACAATCTTAGCATGCTTGTTTATGTTAAGCTGGAGTGCATGAAAAGGTTAGTGTAGAAACACTTCTGAAAAGGCCGCGCCCGGCAGAATGGAAATCTATAAATTATGGGGTCATTCTTGATGGCTTGGGAGTCGTTATTAAGGAGGGGGCCGGCCCTACTCAAATGGTAGTGACGGTAACGATGGATAAGGGAATAAGGAGGAAGGGATGCACATGCAGGCGCGTACGCAGGGGGGGAGGGGGGGGGGGTCGAACCCCCTCAAATTTTTGTCAAGTTGTCAAGTTGGTCCTGATGTGTATAATGCGTAGACCAGGGGTTCTCAAACGATTTCTATGAAAGCTGTAAGGTCCGAAATGACACTTGTATACTGAAGGTAAAGAGGCTTGTTTTTGGTCTATATCTGATCCAAGGAGAATTGTTAGTTTAAAAAAAAACAGAACCGCCAGTGCTAGCTTCCACTCGTTTAAATAGAGTTTCCTGAAAAAGAACACCCAATATCCTGGAATTTGAAAGAATTTTCTTAAAACTTTCAAAATGCCTCTTACGTGGATTTCTTATTTGGATGAATCGCTATGATGTTGAGTGGGCTTATTTTGCTTTCTAATGGATCCATACAACATGGCAGAGCTTGAGGGGTCTGGCAGAGCCTTTTCAAGAGAGAAATTGTCTTTTAGGAGAAAAAAAGAGGTTATTTCTAAAATGAAATGAAAGGGTTATTGACTTTCAAGAGAGAAAATTATCTATAAGAGAGGAAGAGACGTTATTTCTAAAATGAAATGAAAGGGCTCTTGTCAAATAGCCCTTTCATTTCATTTTTCTCTCGAAATAAACTCTCTCTCTCTCTTATAGACAATTTTATGAGATGGAATCTTCAATCTGAAGCTTTTTTGTGCTCTTTGAAAATGGCGCACTGAATGGGGGCAGTGCAATTTAAATTTCAAGGGATGGATTAGAGTTTTTATCGCTCTTGAAAGTCAAATAGCCCTTTCATTTCATTTTAGAAATAAACTCTAATACATTCCTTGATATTTAAAGATAAACTTTAGTACTGGTAATGTGATTGCATTGTGAAAGAAAAAGGTGTGGAAAGGATCAGAAACAGTTGATCATGTAGCATGTAAGTATTGGTTAGCACTGCAAGGTTCTAGAGTCATCAAAATCATAATAAATTTGACCGATTCTTGGTAAAGTAACAAGCACTCACATAGAAAGCTATATATGGGACAACACACATGGTGTCGGGGCTAGTACTACCTTGATTTCCTTGTCTTTCTATGCTCATTACTCAGCCAGTATACATTTTCTTCCAAAATTGTTTGGCACGTGTCATTTATTTGTAATCTTGAACATTCAGTGTAAGTTTCGTTTGATTCTGTGAGAATTATTATTTTTTTTTTTTACCAGTACTGGAGTTTATCTTTAAATTGCGCCGCCCCTATTGTGTCCTCTTTTTAAAGAGCACAACAGAGCCCTCAGATTAGGCAGCAAGTAGCAAAACAAACCCGTAACACTGGACACAACATTCAATGGGATGATGCCCATATCAATGAGTTTGAAACGCACTTCTGGTCAAGAATGGTAGAAGAAGCATCTGCATAAAAAGTATGAATCCTTCACTGAATAGGGATTCTTGCTATCACTTTTACCTTTGTGTAAATAATAAAAGGTCCACGGGCGTGGTTGTTAGAAGCTTAAACTACATAAAACTCTCTCCAATTTTGCAGGGGAGAGCCTTTGTCGGGAGTCTTTAATAATAAAAGGGATATATCCTTCACTGAATATAGGGATTCTTGCTATACCTTTCTTCGCTCCAGTGATCTCGAGGCAGCAGACAGCAAGAAATTGTGTAAATAATTTGCTGTTGCCGGGAGTCTTGCATGGGGCGGAGCCCCAGGAAGTTCTTGAACTTTAAAAAAAATTAGGAAATTCCAAATAGTCGTCATGAGCGATAGAAATTGTAATTTCCTCCTTGAGAGTCACATAACTCCTTTCATTTCATTTTAGAAATTAACCTCTCTTTCTCTCTTAAAGACAATTTCATATAACTTCTGTTTTCGTATTGTTGTACTTTCGTCCGCAGACTACTTAAGCACATGTCGAGCCAACTCAGTCGGAAATGTAATATGTAGGCCGAAGTGTAAAGTTAAGTTTCATGTTCTTCCTTTTTTCTTTCTTTCTTTCTTTCTCTCCCTCTCTCTGTCTCTCTCCTTTTCCTCTATCTTTTAAAAAAAAAATTCTTTCTTTTCTTCTCATTTTTCTGTGTGTGACATGCGTTACGCGTACGTCTATCAATGTCTTAATATGGTAGATTTACATTTTGATGTTTCCCTTTGTAGGTGCACCTTATATTCCAGAAAGTGCCCTATTTTGATGGTGCCCCCCCTCATGTATTGATCTCGATAAAAATAACTTTCTCACTAATTCTATTTCCAATATATCTAATACTTGCACTAATCTCCAATTAAAAAAAAATCGTCTTCTTTCTCTCAAGACAACATTATATAAAGGATTCATTAATGCAAGGCTATCACGCGAGTAATCTCTCAATTTCTAACTTCCTGCTTTCCTCATCTCCCAGTCTCCCTTGCTTCAATATTCCTCGTTACTTCCTTCCAATTGAACTCCAACTTAATTGATGTTATACACTGTATCTATTCTTCAACTACAGGTAGATGCAAATGTTACTCAAAATCCATTATATAAATCACACTCAAGATACAGCCAATTGACGAGAATTGCTTCAATCTATATTTTACATGTATCATTAATATATGGTTTTACAATGGCTATGGTAATGAGTTTATAGGTAACATGTTGATGTGTTTGTTAAAATGTATTACCATGGTGCACCTTCTTGGTTACAAACAAAATATGTGTATGTATTAACGTAAGTTCGTGCCTTTACATATCACAGTAGAAATCAATGTTTTATATTTGATGCAGAATAATATTAATATTTGGAGATTAGAAACACAAACAGTTTCCATAACCGTTCAAGTGTTTCAAGAAAAAGTTAAGCAAACTTTCTCCTGGATGTAAATTGGAATTTTAAGCGGTTTCATTGGAATTAATCGAGAAATTCCCCTTGCTAGCGTGTAAATAAAAAATACGCCGGCCGGCCCTACGTAAATGGCAGTGACGGTAACGACGAATTAGGAGGAAGGGATGCATACGTGAACTACAAGCGTATTGGGGATGATCATACTATCATTTTAGAGTGTGCAATCTGGGTCGGAATCCAGCATAATATATTTATAAAAAAAGAGGTTCACATAAAAGCACTCATGATAAAGCCGCGCCCGGCCCCTACAACATCATTTTGGATTTTCAGATGATGTGGCGGGTGGCAGGGGTAGGGGGCAAAGTTCGCCCCACTCTTCAAGTACCCCCCCCCCCCCAAAGGGCCACTTTTGCTTTTTAAAGAAGTGCCCCTTCCCCTTTTTAACTCGGATAAGCGCACATTTCATCAACACATGTGCCCCCTTTCCTATCTGATAAGGGCTATTTAGAAAAATGAGGCCCTTCATAAATAAAAAGTGTCCCTTTTCATCTCTGGTAAATGACCATTTTCATATATGAAAAGTTAATTCTTTTCACTTCAGTGCGCTCTTCACCTCCGATAATTGCTCCTATTCAAATCTGAGAGATGCTCGTTTTACTTTGAAAAGTACCCCTTCCCTTCCTGATAAGTACTCTTTTCATCTATGATGGGTGCCCATTTTGAATCGTGCCCCTTTTCCTTTCTATTAAGGGACCTATTCCCTTTTCATAAATGCCCCTTTTACCTCTGATAAATCAATTTCTGATGGATGCCCCTTTTCCGTCGACAAATGCCCATTTCCCATACTCATAAGTGCCCTATCTCATTTCTGGTGAATGCCTCCTTTCAGGTGTAAGAAGTGCCCAGTTTGAACCTTTGATAAATACTCTTTGTACCTTGACACATGCTCCTTTTCTTTTCTAATAAGTGTCTTTATCCCTTTCGATATGTGTCCCCTTAACCTCTCATCATCAGGCACGTAGGCACGAAGGGGGGGGGGGGGGGCCGCACGGGGGGGGGCACGTGCCCCCTAACCTGCTCATCATTAGTCTTGCACCTAATTTAAAGCGACTAAGAGTAATTTCCCCTAAAGCTCGCTCGC